ACTTGCAAGGGTGCAGCACATAAGCTGAAGCCAAGTCCTTCCAATCGGTCCCCATCGGCCAACTGACATTAGTCAGTTTTCTGTTCTTAACACATGTCCTCTACTTTACCTCTAGTTTTGTCTCTGTGGCATAGATGATTGGGGCACCACCACTATGAGGGAATAAAAAATCTAATGAAAAGAAACATGGTTAAAGGACTGGTACTCAATTCAAAGGCTAAACCAGATCCAATTTGTGAACCATGTCGAAAGATGCATGCCAATCCATTTCCCTCCTCAGAACATCACTACAATGAACCTTTGGAGTTGGTACATACAGATGTACACTATATTGGTACAAGATCCCGATCTGGATGCTACTATTGGGTCACATTCATTGATGATGCTTCAAGATTCTATTATGTCATCCCAATCAAGTCCAAAAGTGGTGTTTCTTGGGTATTCAAACAGTACAAAGCATTTTCAGAAAACTTCCTTGGATGAAAAATAAAGAAACTTAGGGATGACAAGGGTGGAGAATATATGTCAAGGGCATTCATTGAATTCACCAATAAACATGGTATCTTGCAGCAGCATACAGTCTGCAATAGACCTCAGCAAAATGGAATGGCAGAGTGTGCAAATAGGACATTAGCAGAAGGAATTACAACCATACTAACAGTCTGAACTACCCAAGAACTTCTGGGAATACTGCCTGGCTACATTTGTACACATCTGGAACCATTGTCCATCATCTGCCTTAAAGGACAAAATACCATATGAAATTTGGCACAAAAGGAAACCAGATATCAGTCACATCAGAGTTTGGGGATGCATTGCATATGTGCACATTCAAAAGGACAAATGACCAAGCTTGGGATCTCACATGGAAAAATGCATCTTTATTGGGTGCCCTGAAGGATATAAGGGATTGTTATTCTACAACCCAGTGACAAGAAGGATAGTGCTCAGTGAACAAGCTGAATTTGATGAATGATACACATGGAAACACCAACTACCACAAGTTACAGATACTGGTGGGAAGGATGAATCAAGTACTAGGGATTATGTATACCTCAGGGGTGTTACGACCCGTTCCCGGATGTTTCAATATCCAACTTCCGATCTCCGACTACAGAACATCATAGTTACCATATCTTCCACATTCTTCCCTTGTTCCACATTTGGTAATTTGTCTGTTGACAAGTATTCACTCGTTTGTCTGTTATATTCCCGTTTTGGAATATTGTCTCCCTGATATGTCTTATTGTATTCCCGTTTAAGAATACTTCCATTTCCATCTTATTATGGTCTCAGTTTGTAGTACAATAATGAGAAGATTTATATTAGTTTCCGCAAATTTGTACTTTACCTTAGATCTGATATTGACTTAGTTTCTTATTCCTTCTTCCATCTTTCTGTACGCTCGATATTCGGAACTCTTCGGAACTCTGAATATCCGTATCTTCCATTGTAAGTCTCACTTCTGAAATTAAGGACTTTGAGCGTTTGCATAGAGGTGCAGCACATAAGCTGAAGCCAACATCCTGACCCTATCCGATAGTTCCCAACTTTCTGGTGACTCTCTGATAGTTCCGGAATAAGTTCCCGACACAATACTTAACAAGGGGCTCCAGTTGTTGAAGAAGAAGATAATCCACCAACTGACTTACCAACTGCCTCTGTGGAGGATCATGAATTCCCTACACCTGAATCTGATGACAATGGTGTCACACCATCCCCCCCAGATCACAGATAATGAGGAGGAAGAAGATAATAGACCAATTGCCATTCATCATGAATTCCCTGCACCTGAACCTGAAGACAATGCTGCCACACCATCCCCCCAGATCACAGATAATGAGGAGGAGGAAGATAACAGACCAATTGCTATTTGAAAACCTTCATGCAATATAAAACCTCCTAATGAATGGTGGAAAACCTGGGAACCCAATCCTACCACTTCTGACAGTACTGATGAAATGGAATTGGAGGAGGCACATGTGTCAATTATTTCTGAACCAAGGTCATTTACAGAGGCAATAAATGGTCTACAGGCAAGACAATGGAGAGAGGCAGCCTTGGAGGAAATGAACACACACATTAGCAATGGAACCTGGACTATAATGAAACTACCACCAGGAAAGAAAGCTATAGGATCAAAATGGGTTTTCAAGGTGAAATGAAAGGCAGATGGATCAATAGAACACTTTAAGGCATGATTTGTTGCTAAAGGATACAACCAGAGACCATGATTTGACTATACAGAGATTTTTTCCCCAACAATGCACCATGCTACGTTCTAGTATTAGCACTGGCTGCAGCAGAAGGCCTCTACCTCCGATTAGTTGACATGTCACATGCATTCATCAACAGTGATATTGATGCAGAAATATACATGGTCCAGCTGGAAGGATTTCATCAAGGAAACCCAGATACAGCATGTAGACTAGACAAGTCAGTCTATGGACTCAAGCAGGCAAGCAATCTCTGGAGCAAACACCTGCAGAGTGTACTAGAGAAAATGGACTTCAAGTGGATTTATTTTAATCCATCGGTCTATATCTATCAATGAGGTGGAATCAAAATCATTGTTCCAATATTTGTAGATGACATCACCCTTGCAGGACCATCTGAAAAAGTCCTGGATGAATTTGTAGCTGAGTTAGCTACACACTTCAAACTCAGGGATCTAGGACCTATATCTTTCCTATTAGGCATTGAAATCACATGAGATTGAGAAAAGCAAACTATCTATCACAATGCCAGTACATCTTGAACAAATTCCAGGAATTTGGGATGTCAAACTGTCATGCAGTGGGTACACCCATAGATCTAGGGGCAAAACTATCATCAGACCAATCACCCAAAACCATGGAGGAACAGAATGAAATGTGTGACATTCCCTACATGAATGCAGTTGGGTCTGTGATGTACTTGGCCACCACCACCTGTTGTGAAGGGTATGCTTTTACCACAGTTTCATTGTGGTAAAACACTCCTTTTATTTTATTTATACTTTACACATTTTATTCATATTTTTCTATCCTTTATATTCTTTGAATATTGCACCATTTCATTAGTTCGAAGCTCTGTGTATACTTGTGGGTGCACTCGGCACCAAATAGACAGACACACCTTTACCCAAGCACCACCACTCATAAGACACAAACTAGGTCTACAGCGAGTGGTGATCAAGGTAATGTGTCAGCTACCACATAGGTAGCATTATCTGAACCAACAAACACTTCTGGCCTCAAACTATAACAGTTGAGGCCTCCCCTTGAATCATTCTTCTTCCCCTTCTACTCATTTCTTCATATATAGAATGGTCAGAACTTCCACCACTCTTCACACCTGTCCCAACATTGCATATACTGCAGGAGTATTGGTTTGGTTTAACTCAAACCCTGGTATGTGTTACAACTGGAAATCCCACCAGACTCCAGGCACTAACTTATATGCACCTGCACCCTACACGCACCAATTATCAGTTGACTGGAATACCCACCAGACTCCGTATATCAGACCTGTCCACGCTCAACCTTCATTACTTCATGTATAAGTCACTGGAATACCTGCCAGACTCCGCTCCTGTCTATCTCCGACCCTGTCCCACACACCAGTCACTGGACCCCGCTCAGAAAACCCAACAGCTCTCTAACTGAGCCCCATTCCCATTATGGTCAAATGACCTGTCACAATTTGGACTCTGTTCTGTTCTGTTCTGTTCTGTTCCATTCATAACACCAAGTTTGGTGTTTATTTATCTCGTTTCATGTTTGCTAGTTTAGTTTTCATTATTACTGGATTTGGTATGTTATTCATTCCACAGTCTATATAGTCTGGCAGATGTTGTACATACAATCCAGTCAGAAAATCAGCTTAGATTCTCCCCAGTAATCTCAGTATATTTTCTGCTCTATTCTCCTCTTTGAAACACACCGCTCTTACTTGTTGGAGCCCATGGGCTCTGACCCATCTATCACTCAACCTCCGGCTTATCTATCTTGACTCCCTGACCTCTCAACCCATGAACCCCTCCTGGACTCCCCAGGATTCCCATCTGCCCATTTGAAATTGGACAAGATGATCTCATGAGGGTGCAGCCTATGAGCTGAAGCCAAGTCCTACCAGCTTTTCCATGGGTTTCTCCAGAAACCCTCTAATAAGCTCCATGCACGACTCTTAACAGTATGGCACATTGGAAGGCTGTCAAACACCTACTGTGATATTTGAAGGGAACTATAGATGTGAAACTCACATATGGTCCAGATCCCTCAAATCTCGACCCATTTGTTGGCTTCAGTGATGCTAGTTATGGTGGAGACAAGGACAGTGGAAAATCAACAACAGGCTATATAATCAAAGTAGGATTAAGAGCAGTATTTTGGAGCAGCAAGCTACAGCCAATTGTGACACTATCAACTACAGAAGCTGAATATGTTGCAGCAGTTGCAGCAGGAAAGGAGATCTGTTGGATGCAGAATTAGGATACAAGGCACCATGTCCATCAAAACTCTTCTTTGACAACCAGTCAGCACTAACTATAGCCAAGAACCCAGAACATCATGGATGAATGAAACATCTGGACTTATGCTACTACTGGTTATGTGATATGGTAGAAAAGGAATCAATCAACCCCATCTACCTACAAACAGATGAAATGCCAGCAGATATCCTAACCAAAGCATTACCAGAGTGTGTTAGATTGAGTAATGCTAGCAGTGTCTCCCAGGGTCAGATAGTGTAATGGTTAACACCCCTGCTATATATGTAGAAGCCCTGGGTTCAATCCCCAGTCTGGCCATTCATTATCTACACTTTTAACAGGTTATGGGCCCCACTATGTGCTATAGGGCATGGTTCCTGTGTGTAGAGTGAACAGTTATATTTGTGAATGGTACAGTGGACAAGTCTGGACAAAAGAGCCAGATGGGACCTATATCTGCATATAATATTGTTGAGTTCAAGCATGAAGGGAGTGTGTTAGATTGAGTAATGTTAGCAGTGTTTCCCAGGGTCAGGTGGTGTAATGGTTAACACCCCTGCTATATATGCAGAAGCCTATGCAGAAGCCCTGGGTTCAATCCCCAGTCTGGCCATTCATTTTTAAAAAACAGCACAATAGGGAATGTAAGAATCCATAAGAGATGAGTATTGGCCCATTGAGCTAAGTATGTCATGTATAAAAGAGGGGGAAAGGGTTGCAGGAGATCAGGCCATGTAACACTGTCACTTAGTCAGCTGGTTCTGGCAAACCATGGAGTGAAAAGTGGAAGATAAACAGAACATCATGCTAGGACTTTAACAAAACATCACAGTGACTCATGTCAGCCTTTCAGAAATGCTCATAAGAAAGTTGAATAGTAAACTGGGTGGTATACTTGTTTTGCTTGGGTTCAACTAGGGTTCAACCGGGAAATGGAATGACTGCAATGTAATATCATCTCTTGTGCTTGGAATTTTCCTACTTGTGGCATTCATGATATGGGAGTGGCTTGTCGATCATGATGATATGGCTGCAGCTGGTCAGAGTGATGCAACTGAGAAGATTATCCCATCAAGGTCTATTTCCTGGACCAGACCAGAGATGATTAATCATCTAAAGATTTTCAAGAATTATGATGTTTGCGCAACACAATTCACCACTTTTAGTTCTGGAATGGTCATGCCAGTGCATGTATTGGACAAGGCTTGCAATTTTGCATCTCATCTTGAATGTCTTTTTTTTTTTCAGGTCAACTTTTATTTCCTTGCCATCTTCTTCACTATTGTTTTGAATAAATTACTGTCATTATCAGGCTTGCAATTAATATTCTTCATGCCTGGAATAATAAGTCTTGTACATGCAGCCTCCAAACATGGACATTAACCAATCACAGGAGTGGGAACTATAGTGTTCATCTGGCTTACATATCAAAGGCTCTGCCAGGTAAATAGTGCTGCAACCCATGAAAGGCTACAGTGGGTCAAAAAACTGCCCCAATGTTTGTGCATTTTTAGAAAGATTGATATTGTGTGAAGGAATGATATCAGCAAAAATTCTGACAAATTCACATGATATACTAGAACATGTTGGCTATCTACCAACTTAATACCTCATGTGATTCCAATCAAAGCTCTTTGCTCAATAAATCAAACAAAATAATCACTCATTGGGGCAGTTTTTTGACCCTCTATTATTTTCTCTGCTTTTCAATGTTACACACTAGTATAAGGTAGGGGTGGGTCATGTGAATCATCAACATGTCATGTGATCTTATTTGTATCAATTTGGCGTGTTGAACTTTGTTCATTCATCTCCTTGACTCCTTACCACCTATGAAATCCATCTCTGCTGAAAAGCATTCTTCTGTTGTTTCTCTCCTCAGTGAGGGGTATTCCCATTGTCAAATTCAACCTATGACTGGCCTGGGGAAGGGTACTATTGGCAGGATCAGTAGGGAGGTAGAGAGGGATAAGGAAAATCATCCTGGCGGCCATTCTTCCAAGCCTTTCCCTTATGATAAACAGTCAATTATCTGTCAAATCAGCTCTGGGAAGCTTGACAATGCTGTCCAAGCCACCCAATTCATAAATTCCATCATATCTACCTCTGTCACTCCTCAGACTGTTAGGAATGTGTTGAAGGAAGCTGGCTTTAGGTCAGCAACAAAGAAGAAAGTCCCTATACTCAAGGGGTCTCATTATCAGCAACATCTAAAGTTTGCCCAATACCATAAAAATTGGACTATGGAGGACTGGAAGAGGGTGTTGTGGACTGATGAGACAAAAATGAATAGGATTGGGTCAGATGGGAAGGTATATGTTTGGAAGCAACAAGAGGAACCAGTATCAGATGGGACCACCACACCAACTGTCAAACATGGAGGGGGGAATAACTTGATGGTTTGGGGGTTGATGGGCTGGAATGGGGTGGGAAGCTGATAGAGATGCAGGGGAACATGGATGCAGTGCAGTATTGTGAGATTTTGGAGGAGGGAGTGGAGGAGAGCATTGAAAGTTTGGAGATGGCTGAGGATAAGTGGTACCTCCAACTGGACAATGATCCAAAACATACCTCAAAAAAGGCAGACCAGTGGTTTTCTGACAATAACATCATTCCCATGAAATGGCCTGCCCAATCCCCTGATCTAAATCCCATTGAACACCTCTGGCAACACCTCAAGGCCAAACTCCCACAATATGACATACCACCTAAAGGAGTACATAAATTATGGGACAGGGTGGCAAAGGATGGATTGAAATACCACCAGAGACATGCCAGAAGCTAATTGAAAGCATGCTAGAAGGATACAGCCAGTTTTAAAGGCAAAGGGGGGTCATACAAAGTATTAGATTGTAAAATAATAGAGGGTCAAAAACTGCCCCAATGAGTGATTATTTCGTTTGATTTATTGAGCAATGAGTTTTGATTGGAATCACATGATTTCTTAAGTTGGTAGATAGCCAACATGTTCTAGTATATCATGTGAATTCTTCAGAATTTTTGCTGATGTCATTCTTCCACACAATATCAATCTTTCTAAAATGCACAAACATTGGGGCAGTTTTTTGACCCACTGTATATGCATATACTGTTATTACACAGCCCAAAATTTCAATCATAATCAGTATGACACTTGTGCTGATTGGCCTCAGTTTCCTATCATTTCCTATCCAAAATAACAGTGAAGGTGTGATGGACAGATTCCTTGTGTCGTGTCGTGTAGGAATAGGCATGACTTTTGGTCCCCATGCCATCCACACACAGTTTTTCAGCCTGACAATAAAATCACAATAATAGTGGGGTTAAATATATTCATAAGTTTGCCTTATTGTGGGCATAAATCAAAAAATCTGAGTGATGTGTTCATCAGTTCTGTTCATTTGGTGGAATGGTAGACTTGCCCAGTGTGGGACAATCCTAAATGCAAAGTCTATGTTAGAAGGATAGAATAGAAGGGGGATTGGGGCACAAAATAGTGACCTTATTGGATGAATAGACTACACACTCGGCCACAAACACACACTGGTTACAATAAGTAACCAAACTCAGACAACCGCATGTTGGACAGGGAAACATGTGGGTACTTAGGGTTCTGAACCACAGATTCCAACAGTCTATTCATTCATCAAGACCTTATAAGCTTGGGCACATTATCTCTAGATCAGATATAACAGTTGGCATCCCTAGGTGATATCAGATCTATCCATGTGATCTGGAGCCTTCCCCCCAAGCTCGCCCAGCATGTTTGTGATGGATTCCATGCTGGTGTCTCACTGGGCATTATACCTCTTATACCTTGGACAGTGCCAAAAGCCATAATGGTGCTATTTCTTTCCAAAAATTCCAGATACTGATCTTCCTCTTCAGGTGGGTTGTGCAGCTCTGGAAGGTGGGGCTGGCTATGTTCACTTGTGTGAAATGTATGTCAGTTATTCCTATCCATATTAAACTATTATGTAATTATTCTGTCAATCTGATCAATAAGTCATATTGATTATCTCTGGATTTGTTAAGTGGGCTGGCTGGAGAATGGATGACTTCTGTAATCCTGACTGTATTACCACTTTGACCCCAATGCTGATTGCCCTATTATTACCTCCCGATCATCCCCCCATTGCTAGACTGACCAAAATGAGATCTATCATTTACCTCTCCTTCCCAATCTCTCTCTTGTCCCATCATACCTTATTACCACCATCCCATTGTTAATTGGAGGATATCTGAAAACTATTAAGTATACCAAATTCTAATATACTTGAAAGGTCATTTAAACATCTGGGATGTGATTCAAACATAATTTGGTTTTTAAAACTTTCAAAAAGTTTTAAACTCTCTCATACATTACAAACTAAAGAATCTTTCTGGACATGAGTAGACAATAAAAAAAATTAATAGTTTGAAACACTAATACTTTTAAAAAATAGATACCTTTAGATAGTCTATTCTATGCATATGTATATCATTGGCACCTCTAAATACATATGTATTACTTTGGAATGGATCTGTCAATCTGAACAGATTTCTACTTGATTCAACATACCCAGAATATATAGGTGATTTCACCCAACTAAGAAAGCCACAGGACAAAAAAATTTCCAATGACATCTCACATATTTTACTGGGAAATAACTACAGTTTAGCTTTTAAAAAACAAATTACTAACAAAATTATTAGCAAGTATTTACATAACTTGGAAAACTATATACAATAGGTTCTATTAATTGACTCTGAATTGTTTAGGATATAATATGGAGAATTGTTTCTCATGGTTGGTGGTTAACAATAAAATAGTCTCAAAATAAATACTGCTATTTAAAGATGAAGTTTTGTAGCAATATTGCTTTTATTAGTAAACATTTGATATTATAATGATTACGGACAACCTCCATTGTGGATATTAGAATGACCATAGCCCTCCAAGAGAAGGACAAATATATGTATATACAAAAATACCTACCGACTTCTCTGTATCTAGATACCTCCCTTGCAATCAATGAACATTGTCCTGTCTACACCAACTGAGTGAGGTTGATACAACAACCTTTCAACTTTGAAGTCTACACATGGTCTTTGTTGTGACCAGACTTCCCACCAGACTCTGGGCACTAACTTATATGCACCCACGCCCTATATGCACCAATTGTCAGTTTACCGGAATTCTCGCTGGACTCCATACGTCAGACTTGTCTACGTTCGACTTCATTACATTGTGTATCAGTCACCGGAATACCCACCAGACTCCATCCCTGTCTATGTCCAACCTTATCCCACGCATCAGTCACTGGACCCCACTCAGAAAACCCATCATCCCTCTAACAGAGCCCCGTTCCCATTTTAGTCAAATGACCTATCATGATTCGGACACCGCTCCATTCTGTCCTGTTCCTAACACCAAATTTGGTGTTTACTATTCTCGTTTCATGTTTTGCTAGTTTCATTTCATCATTACTGGATTTGGTATGTCATTCATTCCACGGTCTATATAGTCTGGCAGATGTTGTATATACAATCCAGTCAGAAAATTGGCTTAGATTCCCCCCAGTAATCTAATACATTTTCTGCCCTAAACTCCTACTTGAATTACACCACTCACGCTAGTCGGAGCCCACGGGC